GCATGTAATGAGTCTATCTCTTATATTAGTTTCACCTTTTAAGTTGCATTACTGAAATAAATGAACTTTTGCACGATATTCTAATTTTTCGAGTTTCACCTGTATGTGTATGTGTGTGTGTGTGTGTGTGTGTGTGTGTGTGTATATATATATATATATATATATATATATATATATATGTTTTTTTCTTTTTCAAGGTGTTATTCCTACAATTTAATACATTTACTTGCTGATTGTTATTGTCCCTGGTGCACGGTACATGCTTTAGCCAAAACGAGAATTACAGTTCATGTAATTTAGGTATTTCTCTTCTGAAATATCTGCTGGCCCAGTGCTCCTGTTCTATTCCACTTTCATGGCGGTAATTGGCACTGGTATCCAATCCACTAAGCAGACAATCTCAGTTCACACAGCATGCTTAGTAAACTAGTGAAGGGATTGGCCCACTTACCAGTTGTGGTATTTCTTCCTTAGCAATGTGTTAATGTGCCTGTGTGGATGTGAGATTTTTTTTTTTAATCAAGCAGTGATTAGAGCAAGGCATCCAGTCCCTGCTCTTGAGGATTTTCTATATGAGATAAATAAAGCAAAGGTTTTCACTAAATTAGAATTTTAATGGAGTTAACCCCAGATGCTAGAGTCATAAACGACTAATGTTTGGAATAATCTGTGCCCCTGAGTGCTTAAAAGAGAAAGGCTTCAATTTAATGAAGTAAAGTCTAATTTTAAATAAATAAAATGACTTTCATGGGTAACATCCTGTCAGAAAAAGGCCCAGAGGATAGTAAATTCAAAGCTATTTTTAATGCTGGAACAGCAGCCAATTTAAAATGAAGTGTGTTGTTTTCTTGGGTTTACAAATTATTGTGTCAGATATGACAACTGTTAGTGAACCCCTGCAACAATTAACTCACAAGATAGTTCTGTTGAAGTAGAGTGCCATTAAACAGCACGCTTTTGATGAACTGAAGTGATGACTAAAGCTGGCCAAAATCAGCCGGTACAGTAGAAACCGGATGACTTTTGGCCAGTGTGTACAGCTTCCTGTCCGAAAGAAGTCAGTCTCCCGTTAAACGGGCCTTCTGGAGAACCAGAATCCGATCAGCGCTCTCAGCAAATGGCTGCAAGTGCTAACCTGTGTGTTGGGGGGACGGTCCCCCTGTCAGAACACAATAGCACAGCAGGGGAGATTGCCATACTAACATCCCTTGTGTTAGTACAGCGATCTGTCAATTTTTTTGTAGTTCAGTCTGCCAGGTTGAGCGAAAAAAAAAACTTATAGTGTGTACCAGGCATTACTTGACCCAGCTGCAAATTGCTAATTATTGTTGATGCATGCCCTGTGAATTTAGTTGCTCATCCAGGATCGCAAACAACATGTTGAAGTCTGCAGACATATTCAGTTTGCAATACTTCCAGACTAAAAAGAGGGTTTAACTGTTTGTGAAATGTAAAAGATTGACACATGCATACCCTCCAACCGTTTGAGATGGGAAGGAGGGATACCTATTAGCAAATGAATGTAGACATACACGCACCCCTGCCATGCCCCCTTAAAGGACAATTGGACAAAAAAAAAGATTAGTCAAACCTATAAGTACTTTTTTTTTTCCCCACTACTATTCCTTTATACTAGCTTATGAAATTTACAAATGCAACATATTAGAAATTGGATGAAAGGTTTAGCACCGTGAAACACTTTTTGAAAGATAAATAATGCTTTTTATATACAACTATATAAAACAGACCAAAATGAGGGATAAATAAGGAGGAAAGAGGGACTTTGTTCCAAATCAGGGACAGTCCCTCAAAATCAGGCACAGTTGAGGTACAGTATGCACATACGCTATATTGCCAAAAGTATTGGGAAAGCCCTCCAAATCATTGGATTCAAGTATTCCAATCACCTCCATGGCCACAGGTGTAAAAATTAAGTATCAAGGCTTCTACAAACATTTGTGAAAGAATGGGTTGCTCTCGGGAGCTCAGTGAATTCAAGCGTGGTACTGTGATTGGTTGCCACCTGTGCAATAAGTCCATCCATAAAATTTTCTTGCTACTAAATATTCCATGGACAACTGTTAGTGGTATTATAACAAAGTGGAAGCAACAGGGAAAAACAACAACTCAGCTATGAAGTAGTAGGCCATGTAAAATGACAGAGCAGGGTCAGCGCATGCTGAAGCGCACAGTGCGCAGAAGTTGCCAAATTTCATGTGGCCTTCAGATTAGCACATCAACAGTGCATATAGAGCTTCATGGAATGGGTTTCCATGGCCGAGCAGCTGTATCCAAGCCTTGCATCACCAAGTGCAATGCAAAGCGTCGGATGCAGTGGTGTAAAGCACGCCACCACTGGACTCTAGAGCAGTGGAGACGTGTTCTCTGGAGTGACCAATCACGCTTCTCTGTCTGGCAATCCAATGGACGTGTCTGCGTTTGCCGGTGGCCAGGAGAACAGTACCTGCCTGACTGCATTGTGCCAAGTGTAAAGTTTGGTGGAGGGGGGATTATGGTGAGGGGTTGGGTTCACCCCTTAGTTCCTGTGAAGGGAACTCTTAAGGCGTAAACATACCACGACATTTTGGACAATTTCATGCTCCAAACTTAGTGAAAACATGACTGCGCACCAGTACACAAAGCAAGATCCATAAAGACATGGATGAGTGAATTTGGGGTGGAGGAACTTAACTGACCTGCACAGAGTCCTGACCTCAACCCGATAGAACACCTTTGGGATGAATTAGAGTGGAGACTGAAAGCCAGGCCTTCTTGTCCAAAATTAGTGCCTGACCTCACAAATGCGCTTCTGGAAGAATGGTCAAACATTCCCATAGACACACTCCTAAACCTTGTGGACAGTCTTCTCAGAAGACTTGAAGCTGTTATAGCTGCAAAGGGTGGGCCAACTCAATATTGAACCCTATGGACTGAGACTGGGATGCCATTAAAGTTCATGTACGTGTAAATGCAGGCAGTTGAATTCAATCATTTTTGGCAATATAGTGTATCTTTGAGAGGATTGATGAGAACACGGGCAAAAAGGCCAAACTGAACCTCCATCCCCAAACTGAGATAGACAATGCTTGCGCATCTGCACATAAAGTGGCCAGCCTAGCCCAGTATGCAAAAATTACACTTGCTGTCTGATACCCATAAGCTTGCCAAATAGAAAATGGGGTGGACTTGGTGTCAGCTGACATCCTGTTCTGCTATCTACCTTCCCTATATCCATTCCTTTAACGTTAATATACTCCAGGAAATGTGTTTGTTGTTTTCTACTGGAATTATTTGCATTTCCTACTGTGTACATTTATTGTATAATTATTGTATAGTTATGTCTTTGTCTATGCATTTATCAATTCTAACTGGCTTTACTATGTAATGTTATTTTTGTACTGCAGTACTCTAAATAAAGAATTTATAAAATAAAAAAAAGAAAGAAAAGGTCGGTGGAGGGAGTGGATGGGTTTTGCGATAACTTTAAAGCAGTGTAAATTTGTCATATTGGCCCCTGTGAAACAGACAATTTTTTTTTATATTATGATAACCAAGACTAATAGAAGAAGTGGAGGAAGGAATTAAAAAACAGGGATAATAAGAGATTAAATATGAACTGGCAATATGTACAAATTAAAAGACAATACCTTGATTTACATATAACTACTAAATTATGAATAAAGGCTGCAACTCTGCAGCCTTCATTCATGCAGGAGCCAGTATACAGAGAAGGACCTGGCTGTCAAACCCTGTAGATGACACCACGAAGAATGGTTGTTAGCCTATGTTAGTTTTGTTTTTCTATAGCTTCAAGGGAGTTTTGCATTCTCATCCAAGTCTAATGGAATGCAAAGCCTGCTTGAGGCAGGCCAAATGCACCTATCCATGAATTCGGAATGATTTCAAAAGCATCTCAGACTGATGTTGTTGACACAGGCCCTAATCTGTAGGGCACAGCTGCCATTTTCCCATCCATGCCCTACTACATGCATCAGGAGCTGCTGATAGCACTCCTGATAAATTGAGTGGAACTCAGCTGTAAAGTTTGACAGCTGGGTCCTTGGCAGTGCTAACAGCAGAGGTTCCCACCTGAAGACAGCTGGATAATTTGCCTTGCAAAATGTATCCAAGGAAAACACCATTCTTTGTATCATAATGATCAATATGATATACATCTATATTTCACAGTTTCTTTAGAATGACAGATTTTGTTAAGTTCTCTCTTATTATCTCTCTTTGGGCTAGTTTACACTAGATGCAGTTCAGTGCACTTTTTTTCTGCTTCAAAAATGCATGCACAGTATTTTCCATGTATTCCAATGGCCCTAGTTCACACTAGTGCAGTCAGTTTCCTGTGCAGAAAAAAAAAGTAGAACATGCTGCATTTTTTTCTGCACAGAACCATACTGGAACATGGCAAACTGCACTGGAACTGTGTGTGGTGTGAATGCATCCGGAGTGCATTTTTGTAGTGTGAACTGGCCCTTACTCTTTGGTTCCTCAATGTGTATATGTAAGGATTAAGAAGTGCAGCAACCACAGTGGTCGATATTGCCACCTTTTTATTATAATCAGAGGACTGACCTTGCGCTGGTCATACATATGTGAAAATGCAACTTCCATAAGCTAGCAAAACCACCAGGACATGGGAGGAAGATATTGAGTAAGCCTTTTGTCTTCCCTGACTCGATTGACTCTTTACAATTGCTCTCACTATCCTTGCATAGGATTCAAATGTGATAAGTAAAGAGGCTAGCAGCATAATGGAAGATGTGATGACTTCCTGCAGCTGGATAGCATCAGTATTAACACAGGCATTCATGAACAGAGGCATGACATTACAGAAGAAATGTTTTTAAAGCACTGGAGCAATATGGTAATCTCATTCTTCTAATAGCCAAGGTTAGTATGGAGAAAAAAAGCTCCCATCCATACTTAAGACATAAGCCTTACACATACAGTAGTACATGGTGCATGATAATAGAGTAATGCAAGGGGTGTCATATAGCTACATAGCGGTCAAAGGACATAAAAGCCAAGAGAAGGAAATTGCTTACTCCCTCTAAGAAGAATAAATAGGACTGTGCAAGGCAAGCCAACAATGAGATGGTCTTTCCACCAGGCAGCAAACCTTCCAACATTTTAGGGAAAGTGATATTGACAAAACCAATATCCAAAATGGACAGGTTACTTAAAAATAAATACATAGGGCTGTGTAGACGCTGATCTGAGACAACTAAAGCAAGGATGAGAAGGTTCCCAGCAAGTGTGCAGAAGTAGATGAATTGAATTACAAAGAAAACAATAAATTGCTGCTAGGCGGGAGGGAAACATTAAACCCAACAAGATAAATTCTGTCACCAGAGTCATATTTCTTTTGTCCGATAATACAAACTCCATCTTAGAAAGGCTTTGTAATGCATAAATGTGCAGCATGATCAACTGAATGATAAGGTAGTCCTACAGTGAAGAAAAAAAAAAGATCAAAATCCTAACATTTTACTTTCTCAGAAATCAAACATAGATAGAGCTTGTTTTAAACAAGATTAAAAATAAAGGGTATGTTTTGTAGTCTTTGTAGCTAACAGCCAGCTAACATGCTGTCAAATTATAAATAGGTATGTATGAAGCAGAAATACTTCTTTTAGCTTCACCACTCCTGTAAAAGACCTTAATTATGTGTCCTGGGTTTTATAGACAGTGCATGTAAAGCCACAGGGATTAGACAGGCCATACATGATTCTTTTTCTTTTTTTTTGTTCAACCAGCAGGTTTAATGAAAGAAAATTAACTGATTCCCCGATCCACACATTTGATGTGGATGGGGGAATCACTCCCGCTGAACTATTGAATTCTAACAGCAGGGAGCCTCCACCGGCAGAATAAAAAGATCAGCCTTGCTGGCAGCACTGATCGTTCGGGAAAAAACCTGACAGGCTGGTTGTATGAGAGTTGATTGATAGATCAACTTGTGTACAACCAGTTAGCCCATACATGGATAGAAACTCGGCTGGTCCTTGCTGAACCAGCCAAATTTCGATCCATGTATGATCGACTTTAGAGCCTTCTCTTTCATTGGGCACAGGACCACTCTTCTCCTCCTCACAGCACCTCTACAAACAATTGTATGCTTTATTTCCAAACCATGAAAAACCCAGCTTGTTTTGCATCCCTTCCAACCAGCGCTGATTAAGGTTACAGCCCCTTTGCAAAATTGTGTTGGGACCCCCATCTCTTTTGGACGAAGAGAATGAAAGGCTGAACTGGTAATTTATAGCTACTACCACATATTTGTCTTTCCATTTAACATTTTTTGCGCTGTCACTTGTGAAACGCAATAAAAAATTACATTAACCCCTTCCCTTCGCCGCCTCCTGTTCCTTTAAGTCAGTGTTTCTCAACTCCAGTCCTCATGGACCCCCCAACAGGTCATGTTTTCAGGATTTCCATTATTTTGCACAGGTGATTTGATCAGTTTCACTGCCTTAGTAATTACCACAGCTGTTTCATCTGAGGGAAATCCTGAAAACATGACCTGTTGGGGGTCCATGAGGACTGGAGTTGAGAAACACTGCTTTAAGTGGATCGAAATGTGGATCGTGGGCATTCTAATCGTGTAACTGATGACATGTCATGATGCCTGTCGCAGAGGTCACATGATCAAAAGCTCACGATTGCAATTATACATGGGGAGCTTTCCGTGACAGTTTAGTTATTGTGCTGGGACTGCAAAACTGTTTACATAGATGCATATATGTGGCTGCTCAGTGTTAAAGCCCACCCGCAAAGAAGTCACATATATGCATATGGCCGGTGGGAAGTGGTTAACTGAATCCATCCAAAATAAATGTGCAAATCTATTTAACTGCTTCCCACCCAGGCCAGTTCTGGCATTTCTCTCCTACATGTAAAAATTATCATTCTTTTGCTAGAAAATTACTCAGAACCCCCAAACATTATATATACTGCATATGTTTTTAGCATATATCCTAGAGAATAAAAAGGGAAAGAAGGGGAGCTTCTTCTTGACGGCACAAGAAGTAAATTTCTTCCAGAGTAATAACCTCAATTTAGGAGTAGGTAAAATACTCCATAGACCATGTGCCAATATCGCCAGAGTGTGTTATGTTAATCTGTTCTGTCTTGGAGGGCAGCAGTCAGTTGTTCCATCTGCTGAATATCGTTCCCCCTGGAAAACCATTGTGATATAGTGGGTGGGGTTTGTTGTTTCCACATGCAGGGTATGCATGCCCTAGCTGTATCCAGGAGATGTTTCAACAGGGACTTACAATATTTCTTTCTGGACATAGGAGTCAAGTTCAGGAGCACTGCAGCTGGGTTGTCAAAAAGAGAGATATCTGTAAGTTTATGAACAATCTGCACGACCTCTTGCCAGAAAGGGGGGAACTTTTGACATTTGCAGAAGATATGAAGTTGAATGCCATCCTGAGAACCGCATCACCAGCATAACGGGCTGTGTCCAGGGAATATTGATGTCAGTACTGTCAGAGTCCAGTACCAACACATCAAGATTATATAAGTGTTCTCCTGGTATTTACTGCAGAGGGAGAACTTGTGAGCAAAGAGAAGTATTGAGGTGTCACGTACCTGACTGGAGACTGAAATGACGAGGTCGGCTCACTTGTATCACTGGCCCTGACCCCACTGGAAGTGGAACAGAGGGTGTCTAGGGACCAGGGGGACAAGAGTGCCAGCAGATGTTGTTTGCAGCTTTTGCAGCTGGAGTCCTTAAAAGACTGATGAACTACCGATTCAGAAACAGTAGCGATATGCAGAGCTGGTATGGTAGATCGCCAGGCGTGCACCAGAACAAGGCAGGAAGCTGGGATGGGAGACAGGAGCAAAGTCATAGGAATAGCCAGGGTCATCAATGGGCGGGACAGCGAGGTACCAAATCATAAGTAAGCCAAAGTCAGGAGCAAAGCCGAGGTCATCAAGCAGAGGAGGAAACGAGTCAAGTCAGGAACAAGCCGAGTCAGCAACAAGGGAATCACACAGGAACAAGCAGGACAAGGGGACAGCTGAAGACCAGTCAGCACTTAGCATAGGCAGAGGCACCCTTTAAAGAGTCCGTCTGGTGCCAATCTTTGCCGTGCGTGTGCACATACGCGTGCGCATTTCTGTGCGCATGTGCATGACTGGTCACTCTTCTCTGGAAATTTCCATGCGAGTTTCTATTCACCATCCGTCTCACAGGAATTCCCTTACGTTGCCCCCCCCCCCCTTAGGGGCAGCCTCCGGATGCCCACTAAAGCTTGTTTTTCAGGATGTAGATGAAGGTAAGCTTGAACTAACCGTGGAGCATGGACATTAGTGGATGGTTCCCAGGAATTATCCTCTGGACCGTAGCCTTTCCATTTGATGAGGAACTGGGTCTGACCATCCCTCTTTCTACAATCCAGGATAGCCTCCAGCTCATTTCCCTCATTACCTTCGACAAGCAGTGGAGCAGGAGTTTCTGGACCTTGATCCGGAAATAAACTTGGGACAGTTGGTTTTAGTAAAGAAACATGGAATACCGGATGGATCTTCATATTCTTTGGTAGCATTAATTCAAAAGCTACAGGGTTAATCTTTCTTTTAATTGTAAATGGTCCCAGGTACCTCCAACCAAGCTTCTTTGAAGGACAGCTCAATTTCAGGTTTGTTGTGGATAGCCAGACCTCATCTCCTGGTTTCAGATTTAGATTCCCCCTTCTTTTTCTGTCAAACAATCTCTTGTTATTTGCCTGTGCCTCTAAAATAGTTTTTCGGAGCATTTGACCGTTCCTACTGAGGAAATCCAACCTTTCTTGTACTGCCGGGACAGCGGGTTCCACCGGCATTTCAGAGAGGAAGGAAGGATGATATCCATAGTTGGAGTAAAAAGGGGACTGTTTGGTAGCAGAGTGGATGGAATTTGTGTATGCAAATTCGGCCAATGAAAGGAGAGACACTCAGTCATCCTGTGAGTAAGATGAGAAACATCGTAAGTAGTGTTCAAGGGTCTGGTTTGTCCTCTCAGTTTGTCCATTTTTTTGTGGATTATACGCAGAAGAAAAGCGAAGTTCGATCTCTAGTGTCTCACACAGAGTTTTCCAGAACTTAGAATTGAACTGCACTCCCCGATCGGACACAGTATTGCTGGGACTACCATGTAACCTCACAATCTCTTTAGTGAAAGCAGAAGCAGTCTCAGCGGCAGAAGGAGTCCCTCTCAGGGGTATGAATTGGGCCATTTTTGACAGATGATCAATCACGACAAAGATGGTGGTGAACCCTTCAGATGGGGAAAGCTCTACAATAAAATCCAGAGAAATCATACTCCATGGCTTTTCAGGTACTGGAAGAGATTCCAAAAGGCCCCAGGTTTTGGCTTTATCAAACTTTTTTCGGAGGCATACAGAGTAAGATCTAACATAGTTCTCACAATCCTTCATTAAGTTTGGCCACCAGAAGGAACGGGATACCAAATTTGAGGTCTTGTGGATCCCGAAGTGACCCGCTAAAGGATGATCATGGCATCTTTTAAGAATGAGAGTTCTGAGTTGTTCTGGTATATAAATCTGTTCCTTGTGAAGATACAGACCGTCCCTTAGCTGAAGATGCATTTCCAAGGGGGGTAGATGATCATCAACCACTTCTTTTATTTGTGCTATAAGATCTGCTTGCAAGAGTAAATAGTTTTTAGCTGGCAGGATCATGTCAGGTTCAGATGGTACAAATGGGTCATGAAACATGCGTGAGAGCGCATCAGGTTTGCCATTGTTTGATCCTGGATGGTATGTCAAGTGAAACACAAAGCGAGAAAAGAAAAGTGCCCATCTTGCGTGCCGTGGCCTTAGGCGTTTTTCAGTTCTCATGTACTCCAGATTCTTGTGATCTGTAAAAAATGAGGATAGGGTGTGAAACTCCCTCCAGCAAGTAGCGCCATTCCTCGAGGGCCGCCTTGATGGCTAACAGCTCCCTGTCTCCTATGTCATAGTTCCTTTCAGGGGAGCTTAACTTTCTAGAGAAGAAGGCAACAGGGTGAAGGAGGGATTTGAGTCCCTGTCGTTGAGACAATATAGCTACAACAGCATTTTCAGAAGCGTCTACTTCAAGGACATAAGCTAAGGCAGGATCTGGGTGCTTCAGGATAGGAGCAGAAGTGAATAAGGTTTTTAACTGTTCAAAAGCTGCTTGAGCCTTGGGAGTTCACTTGAAA